TTCCGACAACTCTTTATAGCTTTACCCTCGGATTGCACCTCGTCACTCAATGATGGCAATCCCAAAATGAGCCATCGGAAGCTCCGTATTCCATGGGACATTCTACGAATTGCTCGAGATGCAGTGTGCTGATGGCCTGCGGCGGTGGAAGGAGATGAATGACTGAGGAATGATGCAAAGCATACGCTCGAGAGCTTCAATAAGCCCTCTATGAAAATGCTCCCCCCATAGTTTGTTACACGATGAAACGTCGGAGTGACAGATGACACGGATGATGGAGACGTGTTCGAGAGTCGGGAAAATATGACGTACGGAAGGAGAGCGTCCTGTTCCCAGTCAGAATCACGGTCGACGTGGATGGAGGGTCGCAGGAAGAGTAGATTGTGGGATCGAGGAGAAGAGTCCAGACTCCAGTCAGATTCAACGTCGGGAAGGGCTAGTCGTAAGTCGACTGTGCGTGGGTACGCCCTGATCTGACCAATACAACCTCGCTAAATATTCGGGACTATAGCATTGATGTTCCGCCGTAGTTTTGGAGACGACATCACAATCTTCGCCGATGTCAATTGATATATCCTCCTCACCACGGAGGGATAGCTCTGACCATAACAGTAAGGTACTGGGAAGCGATGCGTCGTTGACGACACATGATCCTGGATCTATCAGGGTGGAGGTATCGCTGCCGATAATCGAAATAACAAAGAATCCATGCCGTTAGTTACAGCAGGCAAGTCGCTGGAGCACAGATCGAATGGAATTAATCGATGCAGATGACTCCTAGAGCGTCTCCGTCCTTCATCAGAAGTTACTTGGGTGTGCTCGTTAGCTTTGGATATAGTAACGGACATTCGTGATCAGCTCACCGAATTATTAACAAGCGTATGTACATCGTCGCAGTGATAATGAAGTGGTGAGGCAACTGGCAATCTTTTAAGCACCTACCAGATCACATTGTACGACGCAATTCTGAGGGCTTTTACATACCTTAGACTCCAGTATCAGACAACCTTGCCATAAAGTCATCCCTATCCATACGTTTTGTACCTGCAGGCCAGCTCTCTGGTCTGTCGCAACGAACACTGGATGCGCCAGGAGGTGGGACAGCATCCAGATTAAAATACAGCCACAACCCCACCCGTCAGGAGGTGTAGAAGGTGGTTAGCTCATAGTGGGATCGTGAAGTCGATTGATAGGTACTGCACAAAGCGACGAGAGTAGGGAATTATCGCAGTCAAAGGCCTTGTCGGCGAAGCCATTGATGATAACGAGCCAATATATCTGAGTCGACACGTTTTCTAACAAGGTTTGAAGGGATGCCCACGTCAATCTCCTGAGAAACCTAACCCTGCTTCACTTCGCTCAGGCTCGTCTCTGAATTTGGCACATGCCCCCAAAATCCTTGCCGTATCCGTGTAAGCGTGCTGCTGTGAGGATTCCATCGTCGAAGAGGCCGGTTCTGGTTAGAGTACGTTCTAGGTCCATTTATTGCTTTCGTAGTGCTGACGCAAAGTAGATCCATCGACGCGTAAGGAGAAGGAGAAGAGAACAGGTAGGGATCAGGAATGAGAAGACCGTGCATGGAACGGAGTCGGCGTGGTGATGAGGAGGAAATGATCGAAACGTGTTGAATGCTCGGGGCGTCTGTTTGGTCTTGGTGACATCATACTTCTTGTCCCTTCCCAATGAATGATACACTCATGTCAAGCGTTTTTTCTTCCAGCTCTATACAATCCTGATGACCTTTGATTACAACCACCGCTGAATGTTCGAAGCCAAGGCTTATTTTCCCGTGATGGACGCGCACTGAGAAAAATAACCGTCGGCGTTGGCTGCATGCGGAAGATTGGGCTATGGACGCAGAGATGAGCATTGCCCGACTTGTGTGCTCACATCGCCAGTTCCTTCGCTCTGCGGCATTCTTCCTCTCAAGTTGAGGTACGGGTTTGACTTTGAAATGATAGACCTTTTGAGGAGCAGCAAGTCAAACAAACTCTTTCGCGGCAAGGAATCTGTTACCTGAGAAGAGGTGACAAGAACGCTCTTAGGATGGTACGTCTCCCTTCTTTCATCCACATCCAACCGCACTCACTCTCGCCACAGCTTGATCTTATTCACCCACGTCAGGGCAACTGTGACTTCTCTTGAAGAGTACCCGCCACGTCCTGCGGGATATCGACTACCGAGGCAGCTTTTGGGAGGATGGTGAACGGAGAAGTGAAAGCCTCCTCTGCTACTATCCGCTCTCGCTCTCGTCCTCGCTGTTCAACGCGACGTCGTGCCTGCGACATATCCGTGTACGTTCAGCATCTTTCTCTAGATATCACACTACCCGTAACTCATAACAACGTATTCAAAGTCACGTCTGCCCGTACCCAAAGATCGCTCTCCTTATCAGAATGTTCCCCTTCCATGCCTCTCACCTATGCCAATAATCATGACCATACGACATAGACACTTTGCGGCCGTTTTCAGCTCAACATGTGTATCGCTTGCAAGGCGTTCGCAGGGGGTTTAAGGGCATCTTCTGGCAGGCTGTATGGGCTCTTTCGTATGTGAGATGTGGAGGAGACGCTAGACGTCTATTTCTCAAGTCCGTAGCTTCTTCTCACCAACATTCCGTTCTGATATTTTCAATTATAGATCTTTTTCCTGCTCCCTTGGCCTTCAGAATACCTCTTCGACCACTTCTAATAATGTAGTGTTCGTTTTGATGTTCCCCCGTTTTGGCGGAAAGTTTGTCCTCGATGCAGACGTCTTCTGTGTCCTTCAGTCAATAATAGGTAGCGAGTTACCCGTACCTGGTACACATCGCTGGTAAGGCCTTTATTTAGCACTGTACGATGATTCACTAATACCTCCACTTGTGTGACCATCTCTCCTCGTTAGCATGGGTCCGAGTTATGCTTCGTGTACAATCATAATACTGCACACCCATATCGTCAGTCTATATATCACTTCAAGTTGTGTTCAACTAAGCTATACCTAGCCTTTGGCGCTGGAACACAGGATGTGGGGAAAGGCACAGTTGCAAAGAGGAGATGTGAATAAGGTAAGTAGAGTTTTCGAGGCGGGAGGTCATGATTTATGTAACTCGCAGTGCGGCAAAGGGAGCACCTAGACGCGGGAGAACGTACGACGCGTCCCTCCTGCCAACTTTTATCCGGTACATACATGCATGTAATGCACGTATATCAGGAATATATTTTATAACGCTTTCAGTTACATACTCTACAATGGAGACAAGTATGAGAGAAAGATGCGTACACAGGACAAATGTGCAGGAGAGAACGTGTACGGTTGGTACTGTATGTGCCGAAGATCCAGCTGGCCTGCATGCGCACTCTCTAGTCCTTCGACTGCTCGTTCTTCTTATCCGTACTACACGCAGATTTACGTGTTATTGGTTGTTTTAGTAATCCATGGAGTGTTCGTCGTCCTTGTCGAGGAACGTGTAAGCTGCCCAACGGAAAGAAAGGGCCTGTAGGTAACGGCGATGCAACTTCTTTGAAGACTCCTCGATATTAGATATTTCAGTCGCCTTCACCGGTAGCCTGATCCACTCACCAAAGATTGCTCGACAGCGTCGAGGTTAACGTTGACCTCGGAACACTAACGTCGAGTGCCTCAAACCTCGCCTTGCAGAGTCTTTATGACATTGTTTGTGTACTGGCGTTGGGTCCCACAAGGCGTTATTGACGAGGAGCTTCCACATATGCAGAAAGGGCAAGCTGGTAGTGACGAGGGTGTTGCATACACGAGTGGATTCCAGAGAAGCAGACGCTCTGAAACACAGACCCGCTCTCGCTATCTTCCTCGCACGAACGTCTCTCAATCCGCCGTAGCAATGACATCACGGCGCTCTCTGAGAAGTTGGGCCTGGCAGCTAGTTTCTGGCGTCCAAGTACGTTCCTTCCGTTTGATATTTTCGCACCCGAGGCGCACTCATCTTGCCATACCAGCACTCGAAAGACTCGGTATACCGTGGTGATGCGCAGAGGGAACTTGTTTGCATGGGGGCGGATAGTGAGGGTTGATCAGTGCAGCATTTCTACCAGAGACACCTGCGTCAGTACTAGTTCCGCCCATGATCCCGGCTGCTCATGAACATGTGGTCAAACCTCGACTTGCAGGGTCTTGACAACAGTGTGTGCACGCGAGCATTGTGGACGAGCATCCAGATGCGTGGGAGCTGGCGATGCGTAGCAGATTCCAGGGATGTAGACGTTCCACAACACGATTCCCAACCTCGCTCAGCTCTCGCTATCTCTCTCATTCGAACGTGTCTCTCATGCGTAAGGTGCAGCTTTGTTGCATGGTCGTTACTCGTTGGTGTGGCGGAGATCCTGTTCGACGGGTTTCGTTGTTTCAGCCGTTTTGGTGGTCGGTCGTCGGTCGTCAGAGCGTGAGAATATCTTGAGTACGCGCTGCTGATGCGTCTTGCAAGGGACACGGCACTTATTCGATCCTCACGGTAACACCCAACCCGGACCCCGGCGACGCTAGCCTGATATCAATGGACCTATAACTGGGGCAACCCATCAGTCGGTCAAAGAAAATCACTGACTATGGCGCTGAGGACAAACACAAGCAATCCTAACATGGAGCGAGAGGATGCAGAGATTGATAACGAGCGGATGTTGCAGGGTTTCGATGAAGAGGAACAAGAGGAAGAGAACGAACAATAGTTTGAAATCAGGGATGAGATGGATGACGAAGACGAAAGGGCATGGACGGGATGAAGAAGCACGGTTATTGGTACCGAATCTTCGAAATCTGCAAAACCAAGGCCGACCAAGACATCATCTTCCCATGACAGATCGCTGAGGTGTACCCAGACTCTATCACTGCTACCAACGATGCCTCCTCGGTATACACCATCCTTGGCTCCAAGTCCGACCTTCATGACTGCGGAAACCAGCCCATGCAGTTCTTTGAGCTTTCATATCACGACAAAAAACCTGACGCATGCACCAAACTCATGTGGAGTAATGGTGAACGCGTCAACGTTTCAATGTTGGAGTTTCTGTATATGAAAAGGGCACAGACTGGGGATCATCAGACGAAGGCACGCGCGCCCACTGTTCCCAAGCCTCACCATGTTCAAAACAAGCATCATCCTATTGCATTCGGCATCGATGAGTCCATTCCTTTTTGCACGAAATATCGGCGCTAGAAAGGTATGCTTTTCGAGTTGCATATTGATTTTGTCGCTGACCATTTCTTGATACTCAGACCAACGTCGCCATGCTTACAATCCCGAATGAGCTGCCCAAGTATCATGATGAGACTACCGGCAATTTCGAACTCGACGCGTTCAAAATCACCCACATTGCTTCCAGTCCAAAAATGGTCGCAACTTCACTGCTAGGCCCACCGTTGGCAACCTTACGGGCGAAACCCCAGTCAAAAGTCCATGGGTTTGAGTCGATGGCAGTGTATATCAGTTGATAAATCGATGGAAACCCGTAATTAGCTAAAAATGGGGTATCCTATAGTTTTGCGATCGCTACCTATGGATATCCTTCGATGCTCATAGACTATTGTCGGTGTGCATCGTTGTACATCGATAGGAATCAATAGACACGTATTTACTTGCTCGCTATCTATATACATTAGCTACAGCGGCTAGCTACAGGTGCAGACGTCCACCACCTATCGAACTCCCGTTCCACCACATACTCATCCCTTGCCTCCCACCTCGTCAACCGGCCACACGGTGCATACATAATTCTGGTCGAGTGCTACCATGGGAGTAGTCTTAAGAGCCAACCTGAATGACTGTAAGCAGATACCCGTAATGTAGAGCTTTAACATACTGCATCCAAGGCGGGAAAGGGCGCGGCCAACGAAAGTGCGTCATGTGTAGCAGCCTGGAGTTGATGGGCACCAAAGTTTGCACCTGGAAGTCAATCAATACCAGGCAAAAAGGTGATAACTTCGCACCTAGAAAAAGTGAAATGGAAGAGATAACGTGGATATATAGCACCGCCGACGGCCGTGAAGTCAACCTAATGCAGCGTAATGGAGAATAAGACAACGAAATGGAGAGGGTTATAAGCAGACTCACCATCTCCTGCAACTAAATCACGTCCAATCTCCTCATCACTGTCAACTACGAATGAAGATGCTGATTATATGCGGTTGCCTTAGTGCCTTTCTGGATCGACAGGGCCGTTTCGATGAGCTGGATGCCGTCGGCAGCATCTAGGCCATGTAATCACTGCAAATGAACTAAGAGGTGACGGTATTCAGCGGGAATGGTAGCGTAGCAGGAGACAGCAATATGCCGGGGTATGGTCATGATGGTAAAAGGGAGAACGTGTTCGGACTTTGCCGGGAGCGCCAGCCCCACGTCATCACTTGCGTGCATGCATACACTAAATACACTAAAAAATGGTTGGCAAGTTTACCAGCACTTGTGGCCCAAAATCCTCAAAGGTCATAAATCTAATGGCAGTTGGAGAGTATGCTCGTCCAAGGGCATCCATGAAGACCTCTGCATGTCCACAGGCATCGATGGATCGACCAGTCAGTACCCGTGGAAATCTACCCAGGTCTCCAGACTTTTGACTGGGGCGAAACAATGAAGCAACAGATTACTGAACATCGTACCATGAACCCTTCCCTTCTTCAGCCCTCCGAAACCTCTCTGCAGTCCTCATCACATCAGAACCCGTACCGAGAACAAAAACCAAGATCTCAAGACATACTTTTCCCGGATGAGGTCGTAAGACGATTCTGTGGACCTACGTGAACGTCCCAATACGACATCGGGGTCCCGCTGCAACACTTTCGCAGTCCTTGTCGAGGAATGAATGGTAGCAGAAGGAGGGAGTGGGCTCATAGATGACGACGACGCGGACATCCGACATTGGGTATTTCAAACACCTTCACCAGCAGCCCGTCTATGGATCCACCACCAAAATATCGCGTCCTCAGCTCAGAGGTTGACCTGAGAACACGAACCTCGTCGTGCTCGGCCTTGAAAACATTGCTCACATACTGATGTACACTGTTGACGAGGAGCTCCGCATTGTGGAAAGGGTGGTGAGGGTATGGGTAGTGGGATGCGAACTCTCCGAATTCTCGGTTGTGGTAGGAGGGTTCTAAGCTGGGGTGCGAGTTTTTTGTCGTCCGCTCGATGACGGTGCATGTTTTCTTGTAGTGCTGCAGATCTCCCCACCAAGATCAAGGCCTGCACGTATATACATGCGAAACGATGCACCGAACCCCATACGTGGACGAAACACGCTAGAGTGCCTCCTCAGTTCCTTCGCCGGTTTGTTGGAAGAATCCAGCTCGAGTGTCAAAGGCAGGCTCGGCGCCACCAAATAGCTTGTGAATCGAGACAATGGTGGTGAAGACAACGAGAGAGGGAGGGAGGAGGGACTGGCTACAGCGAGAGGACAAAGTGGACGTCCGAGGAAACAGCTTTGCTGCATGTCCAAAAGCGGCAGCGACCACCTTGGCTACATACTATTTCCTTGAGTCCTACAACTTCGCCTCAACAACCTCAAAACATGATATCTATGTTCTCTGAATAACCGCGAGTCTCAAATCCACTCTCTGCCTACTTTACCAAGTATAATGTATTATTTGACGCGTCTTTTGCCAGCCCAATCTACTTTGAACCAACAGAAAGCGATGCTCGACCACTTTGGACCGCGGAAGACGCGTCGTCTCATTAACGAGAGTGTGCAGACTGTACTACCGATATGTCAACCACAGCTCCATACCATGTCTGATCTCCACAAGTTTCTGAATCCATCTTTCACCTCATCCTCTGCGCATCTTTCGTGTTCATCTCGAGTTCATGGCTGGAAATCAAGACGGCATGGTCCGATGGATGAAGGATCATACTTCCTGGATGCTTGGGTCCCTGTTCGCACAAAATATTGGCAACCGTAAGTTTATCATGGAACGGGAAACCCTTCCAGCACTTCTGAACGTTTTGCCAGATTTCCGATTTTCTGAGCGCTAGAAATTTTGCGCATGATTTCATCTTTTTATCCTCAGCACCCTGCCGTTAGACTCATAGGGCAACGAACGGGTATATTTTAACGGTGGCCCTCCGACTGGTTTTACGCATTCCCCATTCCCACTTCTTCTTCTCCTCTCCCTCGTTCTCCCGCTCTCATATCCTCCCGGACATCTTCTGCCCATCTTTGATGTCTTCTTCAATGAGCTCTTCTGGCTGTTGTACGCGTCTTTGATGCTGGTGAGGTGGATGGTCGTCGCCATCATCTGCCTCCTGACTTGGTTTTTTGACTTCCACAATGACAACAGCGTCGAGCTCACTGAGCTTCACGGTGAGCTCGTCATATTCCCTACCTATCTCTTGTGTTCCTGATGTTCTTAAAAGTTTAGAGTTGCTTTTTTGGCCCCCAGCTTATCACGGCATCGTGACTTGTTGACCGACAGGTTCCACAACATATCTCGCGAGAGTGAGCGAATACTTAGTTCATTAACAACCACCTAACCTACACTTTTTCTAGATATAATCTTGTTTAGGCCTACCATTTTACGGGAAGTACCCCAGTTGCCGAATGGTATGGCAATTCCAGTTCATTCATACTGTTTATTTACTCGTTTTATCAGAATCTATCAATGATGATTTACGATGCAGTTACGGGATGGTCTCCGTCTCTCAAGATGACGGAAATGGCTACTAGGTGCTGAGTTAAAAATTTGAACGGGTGTAGTTTAGATCAGAACGATATCTATAGACAGCAGGATACGGTGAGCTCATGCATTTTCTCACCTACATGTCACTCACTAATGTTTTACAGGCTTTCGAGTTTATACAACGTTGAGAATAGGCTGCAAAATATTATCTGAATCTGGTCGGAACATACTTCATTGTTCAAGGCGGCTCTTAAAGGAATTATTTGGAGCGCCGCCTGCACCTTCAAAAGAGCCACACCCAGTATAACTATGGCCCCATTCCTCTCTTACCGCAGACCAGTCTGCACTCCCTCGCAGAGACTGGGAGCTGGATGGCGCACCTACTTTACTTTACTGGTCGCATCTATGCACGAGTCGTGTCATACGAGAACTCCCCCAAGACGTGGGCAAATATGCGGCGGACCAACAATGGGTGATAGAAGAGGTCAACCTATAACGAGCGAGCGGTTCTCTGGACTCGCCAGTCCGTCGAAGAAGAGTACCGACTATGGCCTGAAGACGAGGCTACGACGGATCCCAATATGGAGTGGAAGGATATGACAGGTCGGTGTTGCGAGGTTTTTGGTGAAGAGGAAGAGGAGGACAAGGGTTTGAAATCTGATATGAGTCGGACGATGGCAATGGCAATGCGGCGAGGCTGCACCTGAGAAAGGCTTTTGCAATCAACAAGCTTTTATACCTAGCAGTGACTGCGTGTACCCTTCATAAGAGCAGTCCTTTGCACCCTCTCAGGTAGGTATGATAATGACTCGGTTTAAGAAGAGCTACTACAATATGTACTTAAACAAGAATATATCGACACTGTTTAGTAAGATTGTGGAACTGCCTCCATTCTTGTTCATCGGGAATTTGTAACACCGACACTTTCTCAAACCTTCTTCCTGGCAGTCTTTGGCCAACAACGCAATATGGGGACTTCCATCTATGAGCGCAAATCAGTGTGTATGTGTTGTCAGGTATCGGGTACTTGTGGGTGGCTGTGATGTTGAATGCATGTTCTGTCCCACCCGCGTCTTGAACAATCAACTCCCCGCGTCGATCACTCCCTTCCACAACAGCCAACCCCCGCACCAGCGCCTTTTCAATGCACTCCACATTGCACGAATCTTCATCCATCTCCTCATTCCGACGAATGACAATGCGGGTGTATCCATTTGCGTCGGGCAGAGGCTTCGTCATAAGCTGGTCCCACGATGGTCTCCATTTTCTGCCTGCATTGCCCGGTTCAGGATACGAGAAGAACAACCTCCCCCGAACCCACGCACGCATCGAATTGACGAGTGCTGTCCATGCGTCCTCGAGAGAGTCATTCGCATAGTATGCTGGTATCGAAGAGGAGAACAGAACAAATGCCAGTCCTGCGACTTTGTCCACCGGGTTAGTCGACACCCGCGCCTGCATCTCCTTCAGTGCTGGAAATACTCCATGCGAAATTTTCCGTGTAGATTGCAGCTGCCTGTGAAACCTGGTCAGTAGTGGAGTCCCATACTTCCTGTCCTTACGCTTGGCATGCAGTGGTCCATCTGGCGTGTCCCCAGCAATCAGCCTCTTTTTCCCAACCTCCTGTAGCGTCCAAGCACGTCTAAACCAGCACCGATCACTATCCAAGTCACCCTCCTTCAAGCCCAAAGGCCGACCCAGCCCACTCAAGTAAATCACCACATCACTCCTGTCATACAATGCTCCGATGGTGGGCACATCCAGCTTCCACTCTTCTGTACGCATATCCTCATCCGGTCCACCCACCTGTCTCAAACAGAGAACATCCAACCATGCATACTCCGCTTCAAGATTGATATTGAGCATCTCAATGCGGACAAGGTTGAGGCTGGTGTCTTTCGGTATGGGAACGGGCCATTCGTATCCATTGATGGGTGTCCGCACATCGACACGATCCTTCTCGTCCATCCACGCATGCGATATAGGTCGAACCCTCCATATCATCTTCTCGGTTATGCCTGTGCACCACCATGGCACCACCCGATTACTG